CGCGCTCGAAGGCATTCCGTTTCATACACTTGAGGCTCCGATCCGCGAAGTCTTGGCATGGGTCGTAGTACTCGCTAGCATGTTTACTAAAATCGCAACTTAGCTACCAGTGTGGATAAAGGCCACACGTATTCAGCCCAATGAATACGCAACGGTCGAGTTGGCCTGTGTTGCTATGTGTGGCTCTCAATACTCCATAGTCCATGTAAAGACGATCCCGCGAGCACAGATGACTTCAGAAGCGCCATATCATGTTTTGGGAAAGAGGGAAGAAACTCGAAACATACTGTGTGAACTTCTTCTCCGCTTTCTCCCACGCTTTGTCGTGAGTGTCTCCTTGGGTTGACTCGGCCGCCATGGGTGCAGTGAGTTCGTATGTCTCTCGTGTTGCAATGGATAATTGAGGCAAGTAATTTAATTAAATAAAATTGAATGCCAAAGCGTCGCTCGAAAATCAGATTTGAGGTGGAGGTTGATTGGAGCAGAAGTTAGCGTTGGACTTAGGAAGAATTGGGGATCCGCGTGTCTTGGCGCGGAGATCCGCCAATGTACCCAACTGGAGTCCCTAGGTACGCAAACACCCTGTTTTTATATACTGCTCTGAGTTTCACATAGTTCTAGGTATAGATTTCATTTATGTATGTATAGCTCATGGGTCCACTGAAATAGCTGAAGGATCCATTTTAGATTGTAGCTTTTAGTCTGTTTATATATATCTATCTATACACGTCCATACAACACCACCCACAGTACATAAATGATATCGTGGAAGCAAAACTAAAAGAATAAGTACACGGACTCCTTTGAGTTAGCAAAAACGCTTTATTATGACTAGATAGTACTACTTGGCTTGGAAGATCCGAAAGATGTTACTGCGATGTTTTGCTAGGCTCTCTATGACTGCCTCACTGCTATGTACTAGCCTCTTTCCTCCGATACAATGCCAAAAGATGCGAGACTACCCCCCGCGCAGTATGGCTTCCAGATATTTCGGGACTGGTTCCGTAAAGCTAATCGGTTCATGTCGAACCAGAAAAGAGCAAGGCGTAAATTTGATACTGCCAGTCTCAAGGTGTTCATCCGCGAACGGATCGATTCCTGGAGCACATGGAAAGGAGATTGTTGAAGATGACAAGGTCCAGAGAGGCGTGTTCGATGACAGGCACCTTCGCTTGGAGGAACCGAAATAGCAATGGCACAAGAAACAGCCTTGCGCTGCTACAGAGTAGACTCCAGTGCTAGAGAAGCTTCAAATATTTAGCCTGTTCTTGGCCATATGGCCCTGCAGAGTTCATGATGAAATGATCGTTGATATTGAACAATTCGATTTTTGCTTTCGTTTTTGCGGGTCAATTTTCGGGGTCTTTGGTCATGATTCTTTAGGATCGCCCCTGTTCCATGGGAATCTGAAGTTGTATGCTAGTCTTTACTCAAGAAGAGATATAGACGGAGTAGGCAGTCGCTCGGGTATTGTTATGCAATGAATACGTATGTATTTTCCCCAAGTTAGTCAGACGTTAGAGAAGTAAAAGCCACAAAGTTCAATCAAAAGCCTTAAAAGTCTCTTGAACTGTGCTGCGTAGGGCCTTTGTGAATGCTTTAGAGACCGTCGAGGGATCTATGATCTGTAAGTGAACATTGATGCAAGATCAAGATGTATAAGTGAGGTCGAGTATGCTTTGATTGGCTGTATTATTAAAAAGAAATATAATTTATTGATTCACTTGCCCTCGACATAGAGATTAGAAAGGAAAGCCAAAGACAGGGCAACGTCTGTGTGATAAGATCTCAATACTCCGTTCCTATGCAGTCCCTCATCTGTAAAATTTGTACGGTTTCACTTGTCATGCAGATTATTTTCATAATAATCACCTTTGAAAGGGCGGGACAAGCCCAAAATGAGTCGATGTTATATGAGGGCCAGCGATAAAAGAAAAGTGACGAGTCACTTCCAAAGCTGCTACGGAGTAGTTCCAAGCTCCCTTGTTGTAGGGCGGGCCTTCCTCATGATTATGTTATTGCTTGCCTTAGGCCACCACAACATCTGCCCTCTCACTTAAAGAATCTGGATCACATTATTGCTCTTGTGTCTTTCTCTCGATCTCGGATCGTCACACTATCCTCGCGGCGTTATTCGACTTCTTAGTATTCGCCTCTGCGAAAGCCTGTTAATCACGCCTTGCCGCTTTGCGAAACTTTTAGTTTCCGGGAAGCCCCCACCGCATCCTGTCGACACTCGTGCATTCGCCCCAAGACGCCTCAAACACACTCCGGTTGATGGGTCACGCTCCTAGTGTGGAAAAGAAAGGCTCTTGAAGAGCCCCAGAAGGTCAAGATGGCAGCTAGAAATGGTTCTGGGGCTGAGGCGTCGGGGGTAAGTCAATTCGCGCATCTGATTGAAGTGATCGAGAATTACAGACTGACGCGCTTTATGCAGCTGGTGAACACCCTCCAAGGCCATGTCGACGATATTCGCACTCTGATACAGTGTGGTATATGCATCCGTCCCCTGTACGAACCGTTTACTATCGCCTGTGGGCACACTTTCTGCTACTCAGTGAGTCCCTTCTATTTTACTATCTCGTTAGTTCCATTACCTGACCATAGTTCTTCACATAGTGTCTATCATCATGGTTTGCTGGTGGAAGATCAAAGCGAACGTGTCCCGATTGCCGAGCTCCTGTCAAAACTCAACCAGCACCAGCTTATTTGGTGAGTCTTAACAATCTTCAATTCATTTCATTATATCTGACCTCTCTTTCGTGCTACAGATTCGGGCTGTTGTGCAGATGTTTACAGGTCGAGCTGAGCTCTTAGACAAAGGAGAAACGACCACAGAGCATACAAAGAACCAAAGGGACGAAGCCGAAAAACTGGACCAGGACAAGGCCAATGATCATCCAACTGAAGGAGGTCTGTTCGGGGGTCTTTTCAAGCCCAAAGCTCCTCCACTTAAACCTGTCATTGACATTGATGACGGAGTGGTTCGATGTCCGCTCTGCTCGTGGGAACTTGAAGGAGACAATTGCGCAGGATGCGGTTATCGATACCGACCGGGTTCCGAGGAGACAGATGACAGTGAATCAGCCGACTACAGTGAGACTGACCTAGACTCGCTGGATGATGATATGGATGAGGACGAGGGTGAGGATGACGGCGAGCTAGGGGAATCTGACCACTTCGACGACATCGAAGACCATGATGGCGTTTGGGGCAACTTTGCGCTTCAGTATTATGGGCCTACTTTCGCTGGACGCCCTAACTGGCCCTCAGGTCCTGACCGGCAGGCTTTCGACCCGTTCGAAAACATGATACGTGGACCTCCCATGATCCCACTGAGGGCCCCGGCGCCAGTGGATCATGGCAATTATCTCGCTTCAGGTAACACCAATGGAAGTGAATACGACGAAGAAGAGGAAGATGAAGAGGAGAATGAGTATGACGAGTCAGACTCATTCATCGATACTGAAAACGATCATCCGCCCACGAGTTCGTTCGTTGAAAGTCAAGCCGATCGTCTCGGGAGTGGCGATATGTATGAGTCGGAATCAGACCGTTCCACCGGCACTGTTGTGGATTATGCTGAGCGTGGCCACTTTGCCGACCAGCTTGGGCTCCATTACAGAAACACTACACCTTACTTTGACGATGAGGCTTCTGATGGAGATGATGATGTTGATGAAGAGGAAGAGGATGTTTCAGAAGTATCGGACGACAGAGGCATGATCGATGAAGATTCGGATGAATCCGACGAAGACGCAATCCGGACCGCCCCGCCTCGTCAAGCCAATCTACAATATCCAGACCAATCCCCCTGGTTCCAAGCCCCCAGCCAAGCTCCATGGCTTGCAGCGAGACCTCCACCTGAACCAATTCCTGACTCATCCGAGGAAGAGGAATCTTCGCCGCCTGTTAGGCCTGCTAGATCCAGTGCGCGTCGTCATGTCCATCACGGGACCACTGCGCTGAATGCGATCCCCCTCGACGATTCGGACGAAGATCAGCCTGTCGGTCCAGTGAGAAGAACGACA